AAACAGACACAAAGGACACCAACACAGTCATAGATACACAGACTTCCAAAATATACAAACACAAACAGACATACAAGATATACACAAGATGTACAAACACAAACAGATATACAAGATATACAAACACAAAAAGACATACAATATACACAAACAGACATACAAGATACACAAGCAGACATGCGAGACATACAGACAGGCCTGCACGTACGTACATGCATGGACCAATCAATATAAACCAATTTGAATGAATCATACTCGTGTGGGATTGTCGTCATGGCAGTATGGATGGATGCCTGCAAATGTATACAATTTAATTATTTTTTTCATTTTCACAAAAATTGTTTTAACAACGTTATTTTATTAATGATCCATTGATCAATTCATTCTTTCAATAATTGAAAATATGCTTTGCTTAATCTATTGATACGTATGAACTGAATTCAAATGAAAATAGGCCGCATTTATTTATTTTATTTGAATATGGGTTTTTTAATACTTCAAAAAAATTATAACGGCTAAAAATCTAAATATAAAAAAAGATAATCTTTTAAAAATGCTTAAATCACAAAGGGTCTTCGTTTGTGTATCGTTTCTATGCACACACAAAACCAACGAATACAGTCAATTAACATAACTTCGGTATTTGGAACAAATCTCATAAATAAAATATTGAAAATATACCGGCACACGTTTTCCGTTCATCAAATATTAACATTGAGCATCAATGTTCGTTCGTTTGTTTGTTCGTTCATTTTTTTGTCTGGTATGTTGATATAATATAACAAACCATGTTACCATTTAAAACTATCACATTTTTATTTCCATTATCTTAAATGATCATTTACTTATCCATTTATTTAAATTCGTACCATTTTATCCTTTAAAATATAAAATTAGCAAATCAATCTTATATAAAAACATTTAATTTCTATACATTAACAAAACCAAATTTTACTAAAAATCATATTTACTCGTTCACTCCAATTCAATTCGCATTGTGCTATTTGTAATAGCAGGATGCATGTATATTAGAATGCTAGAGAAAGACAGAGACGCGTCGAACCTTTGGCATTAGCCGATAATAGCAACCATCACTGGTTTTAATTTTTCTGACCTTCATAGCTGGTTAAAACATTTGAATTTGAACAAAAGATTGAATATTAACTCGATAAAAACTTATTGAAGATACATGTTGTTTTCAATGGCTTTTTTCCATTTAAAAAAAAATTTAGATTTTTACAAAATGTAAATTAGAATTAGAATGCTAATTATAAGTTTTATATTAATCGGCCTTCGGCTCCGGCTGAATAGTGGATCAACTATTTGGCTACTCGATGCTGTCTTGATATAATGATGACGACAGTGTTTAACACATCGCGTTTGCTATGTGCACGTATCAATACGTATACATCGGACAACCAACGCGCCCTTTTAGTTCATTTAATTAATAAATTGTTTTACCAAAATAATGTGACCATTGACCAGCAAGAGAGGTGCTGCCGTACAAACATAGGAATGAAACGGACAAGAACGCATGTGCGCGCATGAATTATATATGTAAATTATTCATAAACGTGCGCAATTTATTAATACTCACGTTCGCGAGAACCTTGGCATGTTGGTCCGCAGTGGCAACACGGAAGATTTTACTTCTTATAAAGATGTTTTCAGATATTCATTCAAACATATTCATATAATACAACAAAAAACTAGAGACATTGCATAATTTCTTTTAAGCTCGCGATTTTGGATACATTTTATTGAAAAAGTGCAAATTTGAAGCTCAGATCCCTAATTGTTGTTGTATGGTTAAAAACGGTTGTTAGTACATGCAACGTGCACATTTGTTAATAGGTTTATTTTATTTTATTTATTTATTTATTTAATCAATTTGCTCCTAACCAGTTCTTGGAGCATAACTAACGTAAAATACAAAATCCATCCAGTCCAAACAATTGCTACGTATCTTAATGACATCAAACAGCATACACACACGAAACAGTTGATAAAAGAAAAGAAAAGAAAACGTGTGCGTTCGTTGATATTCATACAAAACGTGCACATTTGATGTTCACGTTCATGCAAACGCGCACGCTGACATGGCTCACTGATGCTGCTGAAACTACCATTGCTGGATCAATGGATAACAAAAAACAATGCGGACATAACTTATACATATACATGTGCGTACGTTTGTACATATAAGCAAAAGTATCTGTCGTCAATAGTGATTCGGATTCCATGTTACGAAATGTAACAAAATTTTATGATAAAAACTCTGGAATGCAGGCATCTATTGCCCACAAAGCCACTGCAGGTATTACATGTACATACACGATGATGGTGTGATGTGGCAGCAATGTAACTTCTACACTCTCCCTTATCAGTTGATTGTGGTAGGCAGCGTTATGAATCTATAGAGGAATTCTTTTTTAGTCAATCAATTGCGTCCAACCGTGCTGAGGCGTGGAGATAAAAACTGATTAGTCATTCACGTCATTCGCTTATGTTGTTCTTATTTTTGTTCTATTTACTTCAATTGATTTCAAATTATTAAAAAATTATATTGTTATAATATAACTCAATGAAAAACTTTACGTTAGTAACAATATCATATCGTTATGTCACATCGTCCATTGTTTATATTATAATTAGATCAACCGCTGTGTCATGTGGTGAGTGAATGATTGAATATTTTGTCTGAATATTTAATTAAATATAACAGGAAATGGAATATAAATAACACATTAATTTATTTATTGGATAGATTGTAAATCTATCAAAACTGACAGTCGGGTTTTTCTACTTTTCATTCATTCAATCAATCATCCATTCATTTATTTATTCGTTTGTTCATTCGTTCGTTTTGTTTATTTATTAATTTCATTCATTCGTTCGTTCGTTCATTCAGTCAGTTTGCAATTTCATCATTCCATGCCTCCATGCGTTACACGACAGGCCATGAATAATGAAATTCCATCTGTCTCTCCGTAACACAAATCATGATATATATGTTTCTTCGGTATCCAGGGTCAGTAGTTTTTTGGGGCCCGGATTTGGCCTCCATTTTAGCCACATAATTTTATTTTATACTGATATTTGAAATCAAAATTAAACGGCCTTGAAATTTTTTTTCGGCCTCATTTGCGCAATGTAATGTAGCTTTCTTCACCATCATATAGGATACGTTGCTGAGGTTTTCTAACTTAAGCCATTAAAAAAGCATGCTTCAAAGCCAAATGAAGGCCAATGTTGGCGAGTAACAAGACCAGCCTTGGCCGTTGTCAAGTCCAACTCATCTTATTCCTGGAACTTGCCGCTTTTGTATTCACCTTCATAAAACGGGATGACAAAGCCTCTTAAGAAGAAAAACAAGAGCAAATGTTTCATGACCTATGACACTAAATTGTAGTAATTCGTCAACTATTAATTTGATAAATAGGTTTTAAAACAATTTTGTAAAAGCACGTGAAAAGCTAACAAAACAAGTTTTATGAAAAGTTGTCAGAAAAATATATTATGACGTAATTAAAAGGGAACAGCAAATGAAATTTAGCCGTATGCCACAACAAATTACGAAAGTGACATCGAAGATCAAGAGATGGAAAATGTTTCTGTTGAAATGTCTCTGGTTCAATCTCCTCCACAAAAAAAGGCCCCAAACCAAAATAAATACGTTTGAATTGTAAACTCGTTACAAAATGTAAAATATATCAGAACTGGAGGTTAATAAATTTCTCCAGGCATTTATTTCAAATTTCGAAATTTTAAAAGAATATAATTAGGACAAAACGTGGGAAAATCATTGTATCTTTTTGTTTGTTTTTATGTTGCTAAGGCAGTATGATTCTATCATACGCCAACACAGAACAAACAACTAGTCAAGATGAATTGTTCTGGTTTATTTAACGTTAATAGCTTTGTTAGCAAAAGTATTAAAATATATGGAAAATTGGTAGGAATTATATTTCATTTTTGACAAAATTTTCATTATTTTATTTTCAATCGTGATTGGAATTTACAACTGTTATAAACTTATTTCACATAAAATGTGTTCTGTCAACTTTTATAAATATATTTTTACAAATTTAATCAACTGATTTCATTTATGGACCTTGAATTGTCATCGAATGTTCTCTGTTTTACTACAGAATGCTTGAAACTTAGTAATCCTATGCATATTTTGATGGCTCAAATAATATTTTGTAGAACAAATTTGTTGCAATTTTTTTAATTCAGTTTTTATAATTTGTATTTTACAAATGTGAATTGCAAAGATATAAATGTGGCCATATGGGCATGAATTCAGATAATTTTGCTCCAGGGCCGCCTAGAGATGGCAAAGAGTCAGATTACCAGGGGGTACAAAGATTTGGGAACCACAAAGATCGTGGAGCCACAAAGATCGTGAGGCCACAAAGATCGTGGGGCCACAAAGATGGAGCGGCCGGCCCCGCCACTTAAAACAATAGCATAAGTTTAGAGTAAAATGTTCAAAAAAACAAATATTTTGGTATTGACTGTCACTCATTAACGCATAGCAAAGCAAGCACATAATAAACATAATAATATTCTTACTCTTGCATTTTAAGATAAAAAACATCAGTGAATCACATTGTTAAAACTCAATTCGTCTGTCATGAATGTACTATATATAATGATAAAACTTGTTTTGTTTTTTGTAGTTTTTTTATACTAATCCATAAATTAATCATTAACATAAATTTGTATGAATATTATTATTTCATTATAAAACTGGCAAGTAGAAGTGGATGTGAGATCGTCACAAGTGACATATAAAGGTGCCTGGTAATTAGTTGAGGCCTGTTATACTTTAAGTTCGTTTTTTGTATTTAAACAAACATTCGGAGCTGCCCACATAAATTAGTAAGGACGCCTTACAATCTTTATTTTCACCCTTTGTTATTCATATTACTAAATCTTGCTTTTGCTAATCTGGTCATTTTTTTGAAAAAGTCAGTTTATTTAGTTGGTGGAAAATGGCTAGCATAAATGAGGATGATTTTTGCTCAGAGATGCGTAACAATACACAAAAAATTCACGACGAAAGCGACAAACTCATCAATTTGAAAATTGTGGCCGCACTAACAGACGTGAAAGTTTGGAGTCAGGCCATCGCGGATTTTTACTTCGTTTTCCGTCAGATTGAAATTGCCCTGGAAAAGCTGAAAAGTGATGCGAGATTGAATGTTCTGCATTTCTGTGCTGAGCCAGAATTCAGAAGAACTGAGCTGTTTCAAAAAGATCTGCAGTACTACATGGGAGATGATTGGATGACCACAGCCAAGCCGTCTGAGGTTGCTGTCAATTATTGTGCTAGAATTGAAGAAGTGTCAAACACAAAGCCTGTACTTATTATCGCGTTTGTTAATTTTTCATTTATATTTTTAAGACTTTTTTTTAAGAGTTTCCTCAGGTATTAATTATTACATTTCAAATTTTGTCAAGTTATTTACATTTGTTTTGTCTTTTTATAAAATTTTTATCTCTAAAATAAAAACAAACGTTAATTTTCTATAAGCTAAAATAAAATAAAGTTACACAAATCTTATTGGCTTAAAATCAAAATGAACTTTAAACCTTCTGTTACTATGTTGATCAGCTAAAAATTTAGGAAGAAATCATATTTATTTATTACTAATTTATTACTTATTTATAACTAATTTATTACTACCAATATGATTGATTTGAATACAAATAATGATTTGGACATATTAAAACATGCAGTTACGTTCACTCCATGTATCTGGCCCTGTTAGCTGGTGGAGCAATGTTGAGGAGGATTGTAAAGAAAACACTTGGCCTTTCAGGACAAGAAGGACTGGCTCTGTTCAGTTTTGGCAGTGAGTCAGTCAACAAAGCAGAGTTGAGAAGTAGAATAAAAGATACAATAAATGCCATCAACCTCACAAGAGAAGAAAAAGATGAAATCTTAAAAGAGAAAACAATAATTTTTCAAATGAATAATTCCATAGCAAACAGTCTGCCTGTGTCATTCTCAAGTTACAGAAGATTCATGGCTTTTGCATCCAGTGCTGTTATTGTGTTGGCTTTAATGGCTGGTTTTATTGTATCTGGATTTGGGTTTTGGCAAGGTAATAAAGTCTGACACAAATTTTCCCTCAACTGTAAATTTATTTTTATTTCAATTTATTTTTTTCTCTTACTATTTTCAGCAACATTATTAATATCTATTCAAAAATTGATACATTCAAATTTTGGCCTCCTATGGCATTTTAGTGGTTTGTGATTAATCGCTAAAGTTCTGTTTTTAATTATATAAAATTTTACAAACAACTTCTTCATGAACAGTTTCAAAACCTTCTGCAAATTCTTTATATCAATTTGAACCTTGTTTATCTTTTGTAAATAGTTAATTGAAGGGAAGCACTAAATAGCGAATTTGGCTGAAAGCCAAATAGCTGAATAGTTGATCCACTTATTTGGATCAAAAAAACCCAAAATTTAGTAAAGCATTCATGTCTCCTTTACAATTTTTTGTCGAGATGATTTTAATCTCTTGTTAAAATTCACATGCTTTAAAATTTAACAGCCATGACGGCCAAAATAACATTTTTGCTAATAAACAATTATTAGAATCCAAAGGGTGATGCCTTAAACGAAAGCTAGCAAGGTAATGCATACTGCATCTTCACCAAAAACTACACAACACAACTACTTGTTGCTTAATGATCTTTAGTATTATCACTATTGTTTTTTCTTAATTAGTTTTTTCTAGTTCACGTACTGAAATTTATTTTAAAATACAAAAAAAAGGAAAATTATTTGCGTGGCCTAATCGAAAATTTAGATAACAAACATGTTTTACAGAAATATTGTTTTATTTCAACTTAAATATCTATCTACAGCGTGACCAGCAAGTGATCATAAATATTTTCAATAAAACAGTAAACATTAAAAAGATTATTATAAATTAAGTGAAAAAATAATATTAAATCCAAATTTTGATAAGTTGTTTGAAGGAGCAAATTCAAAGAGCAAATTGCTTGAAATGAATAAATTCTTACGCTACAAACAAATGTACACACGCACACACAAACGTGATTATTGACAACAAAACATGACATGAGCATCTGCCGTTTATTTCTTTGTTCATCGATGTTGCATGAAATTGCCAAAATTTTAATAAATTAAAAATTATATTTGAAATAAGTTTACGTCGTTTGAAGCATTTTCTGAAAAATAAAACGTTGGATTTTCCACGTAACTCAGAGCAGCATGTTCAATTATCTATCTAACTAACAATAATTTTTGAATAAATGAATGAATATATTCATATATATATATATATATATATATATATACATATGTATATATATACATATATATATATAATAAATATATATATAATGAATATATATATGTATATATAACTAAAATTAACGCCGATAAATTAGCACGATAAATGATAACGAACTCAAACAAACCCGTTAAATGTGGCCGATATATCAGACAACGAACGTGTTGATCTGTCTCAGGCGACTGACATTAGTGAGCAGAATTTACGACGCCATTATCTTAATTAATTCTAAATTTCATTTTTAATTGAGGTTTAAGTTATCTAATTAAATATATCAAACGTAGTGACGCGGCATTCACTTATAGATGGATGATGAAATAGTTTAAAAGTTGAGCTTGAAATGAGAAATAAATTCAATCTTCGACATATTGTAAACATGATAAAATATTCTATTGAACAGAACTATGTTATTGTAAATAACTTGAGTACAAATAATATCGATGAAGTATCGGTAGTTAAATAAAACCAAAATGTACCTATGTCACTGACAAACGACTATGTTGTACAATTAACATTTGTCGGTATTTATTTAAGTATAATTGAATGATAATTTGAAAAAAAACTATAATAATAATTTTGGCAAAACATAACCGAAAGTAATAAATAAATAGTTAAATAAAAATAATTTAAACGCGCATGTCCGTGTCATTAATTTACAAATGCAAGCATTCATGTATTTTTAATTAATATAGGACTACATGATTTATACGGGTATGTAAGTTTAAATAATTGAAAAGAAAACACAAACATACATATAACACGTGCATACATGTATATATATATATATGAATATGTATATATGTTTGTGTATGTGTTCATGTGGTTCCTCTATATAGTGATCATAGTAGGTAATAATCAATAACAAAGCAACAGTCTTTTGGAGAGAACAACTAATTTACCTTAATCTCGCCATGGAAAGTTTTGATGATGAAATTGATTACAGTGGTACTATTGATGATGGAAATGAAAAAAATAACAAAAATGTCGACGGTGAGGACAATGATGATTGTATTAATAGCTAATAACAACTGAACGATCTAATTATAAGCTACGCATATTTATCAACTGAAAGCAAATTTAGTAAAATTTGGTTGACGAATGTGATAAACTGACAACATTTTAAACCTTCTAACTGCAAACATTAAAATCTTTCATCAAAATAATTTGAAATTATTTTTTACACAGATCTTAAGTAATGTTTATATAAATATTAATATATAAACATATAATTAATAAAATTCAATATTGACAGGGGCTAACATAGTATCAATTGATTAATTATAACTTAATGTTGGTATATAAGTTTTTAAAATAACTCTGAAAATAAATGGTGAACTAAATTGATTTTAAAAATTGAATCATTTTTAAAATTTCGTCTCGTGAGCTACAAAAATATCTCCTTGCTACTTCAATAGCATGACCTCAAGCACGCACTTTCCATCCTCAATTGGTCTATGTCAAGTTATGTGATGCGGAGGTTCAATTTGCGTAATGGTCAAAGGATCCTAAATATTCAAGAGCCGATCTGTAGCAGAATGCATATTGCTCCTGCGTAAAAGTAATTAATAGTTTTTTTGATCTTGTTGCTCACAATTGTCAGCTGCACTTTTACAGTTGATATAAAATAGCAAAAGTTTAAACTATAACAATTTAAGAGTTGAAATAAATATTATTCATCATAAAAAAATTGACGAAATATAAATTAACATTTAAAACTTGATTTAAAATACAAAAATGTTTAAAGTAATAAAAATTTCATTGGCCCAATGCTGGGAATTTTTTCAACATTAAATTCGCCATTAAAATTTGATGAACCAGTTATTTTCTTTTAAACAGAACTAACCACTGATTGAATGATGACAGGCCTCTGCATCCAGAGCATCTTGACTGTTTGAAACATGTCTACGATGCCTTCGTATCTCATCCTCTCCAGCAGAATGCTCAACGTCACAAACACACCTGACCTGCCAACACCGGAACTTTTGAAAAAAAAAAGAGTTTCAAATGTTTGCCTCCCAATAATGTATTTAAATAATAGTCAGTTATGCTGTTGCATATGAAGATGAAACAGTGGAACGAACCTGCAGTGAACAGTGATAGGACCATCCTGGCCAAACTGCTCTTTCGTTTTGTGTACCTGGCCAATGAAATCGATGAAACCTTCGCCAGACTTGGGCACCCCTTGCTCAGGCCATTCAGTGAAGTGGAACTGACGAATCGTTCTCGACTGCCCATCCTAATGTTCACCAAATTATTAGCCACAACGTTCTGCTACGTATAACTCTTAAATAAACTTATCAAACATTATTTTAAATTATAAACTATTGAAAAAAAAACTAACCCTGGCATCAGTGACTTTAAACTCTCTCAATATGTACTGTGGCATGTTGTACTCGGCCATGGGATCCACCACAAAGTACTGGTACCTGGCTGATCTCTCACTCGGCCAGTACTGATGACACTTGTCCTGTTGGTGTGCGTGGTGGTGCTAGTGCGCGAGCTCATTTTAAACAAATTATAATTATTTTTCAAAACTATTTTTTAATATTTACCAAAAATCATAAAAATTCTTGTTAGTGTTGACATTTTTTAATGCATACATGATCATCTAGCTAGAACACCACGTACTAACAATAACAAAAGAACGTACTTACATTTATTTTGCTCAGCTTGAATATGAAATACAAAAATTTGCTCATGCTAATGATGGAAATTGGTCATTAAGTCACTTACTTGTGTAATTTGCATAAGGAAGTTGCAAAATTTTAATATGCAGTCAACACTTTTAAAACAAAATTTAATCAACGGACAATCAGCATTATGAATAAGTTCAAAATATTCGCCTAACTCAACAAAGTCAAGAAAATCACAAAAAACCACGGATATAACCAAAAAAGAATTACGGAAATGAAGCTACTATTTGAAAACACGTGCACTCTGCATGCACACGTGAGTTACATACTCTGCCGGATTCTCTCAGCTTCGTCAGCATGACGACGATCGTTGAGTTGTGTTCCCACAACATTCGCCAGAAATCTTCCGTGGTTTCAGGCAGTGGACCTTGGGTCACTATGTAGGCTCTCCTGTAACGGTAACCCTACGTTGAAAAGAAATTTTGATTTCATCTTCGAGCTTAAAATTTATATTTTAAAATTTTCAATTTTTACAAATGCCGTTTGAATAAATTTAAAATTAAAACATTGAACCAGCGAATTTATACGGAAATTTTAATGCTGAGAGATTGCGGATGTGACTTTAAAGCTGAATCAGAACGTGCTGAAACTCACGTCAACAAAGCTTGCATTGATGTAATCAGACCCCTCCACTCCGCGTATGGGCTGCAGGCACACCCTCGTCGACTCGTCTGCCGTTCGTTCATTCAATTTTTTTGTAAACATTATAAAGCTTTGACTTTTTCGTAATTTTTCAATTTTTTCAATATTTTGTTAATACCAATTTTTGTTTAATTGTATAATTTTTTGTGTAATTTTTAAATATTTTGAAATTTGTAAGTTGCTGGTTTTTTAATTAAAATTGCAATTTTTATTTAAATCATTTTTTTTATTAAAGTTTATACTTTATAAATAAAAAGAACAAATCAAAACAAACATGGTAGAATGTTGACCAATCTGTTCTTCAGTTTGTTAACTGGCAGGCTGGCACTGGCGAACCGTGAAGGGTTTATCTTAATGCTTGAAAGTTTCTGTGTGATTTATTATTTATATAACTTTTGAATCAAGTGTTGTTTTTAGCAGTTTATTGGTTTCGACATTTTCTACGAGCATCAAAATATAAGACTTTAGAGTAAAAATATTCCGTCATTTTTCAATAACTGTAATAATTTTCAAATACATTCTAAGTTAATGTTGATAGATTTGCATTTGTCCAATGGTCGTCATACGTCATACCAGCAGCTTGATGGCGACCAACGTACCAATCAATCACCAGACAAAACAAACTTTAAACTCCAACTCCATTCCAGTCTCCGTATCTCCTGGATCAACTTGGTTAAGTTTCTGAATGTGAGCTAGCAGATTCCTGGCCGACACCTCCGTGTTTCCTGACTGGATGGCTTCTAATAATGCATCGTGGATGAAAACGTACTGATCTTCTGTTTGAACCTGCATGCAAGAAGCGTTGAAAAGAATGTAAAGGAACAAAGATTATGGTTGATAGTGGCACAATCAGTGTTATTCAACCGAGTAAGTCAAAGTTAAGTAAAGTTGAAAGATTTGGTTCAAGTATTAATGTTTGGTAAAAACATTTTTATCAATAAAATTAAAGTAAAATGAATTTTCTATGTAAAGGCAAAGAAGAAGAGTTTTGTTTAAAAATTGTTTTTCATTTGAAAATGTACAGCCAGTGGTAAATCGATGGGTGGATCGAGGGGTGGATGCGAAATGCACCCCAACAGACCATGAAAGATGGAATTATTGAGATTCTCTGTAATTAAAAAAGGTTATCAACTTAACATTATGAAAGTTATCGAATGGGGATTAGCGCCATAACTGCAAAATTCTGTATACAGCGCTATAAAAATGAATTTCAGCATAAAATGAATTTATTTATTGAGAAAATTAATCAAATCGGATTTGATAGTGATCAGATGTTTTTGAATATTAAAAAACGAAAAGAGTCGGATTGAATGGCTGACACTAGCTGCCTTAAAATTTGTTAGGAATTTGTCAGTGCTGTCAAAATGGGGAAAAGTTAGTTACAATAGTTAGCATACAGGTGACAACAACTCTTGGTTATATTTGACAGTTTTTTGATGTTATCAAAACTGTAATTAATTGATTTTTAGGATTAATTTGTTTGGATGAATTGCTGAAAACCAGAAAAGCTGTTTATATGCATATTATGTTAAAATTGATCTGAATAGCATTTGTGTTTAGTGATTGTTGATATGAAAAAATAATATTGAGAGTAAATTAAAAGTAAAATTTACAAAAATTTCTATATGAAAAAGAAAAAAGGTAAGTTAAAAAAGTATGAAACTCCTAAGTAAAGTAAAATAATTCTACTTAAGAGAAAGCAGAAAATTTTGAATTTAAAACATCACTGGATGCGATTCAAAGCAAGTTCAAATGAAATAATTGATACAAGTGTGATAAGAAACAATGAATAGTTTTCAACTCCACAGACCATGTAATTGCGTTGGGCCCTCAAGCAAGTGACATGCCCGTAAATGTCAACAGTTTTCTCGTGTTTGATTCGTTCCAGCATGGAGTCGATGACGATGAACGCTCCAGTTCTGCCAACTCCCGCGCTGATGCAACCAAATACGTGTTTGTAATTTGAGCAAGTCTCAATTTCCGTAATTCATTTTATTTGAAACATTTGTTCATAAAAGAGGAATGAATAGATTTCAATGAAAGATCAATCACAAAATAAGAATTACAGTAGCACTATGATCTATTAACTATGCAAAATCATTTTAAAATTATTTAAAAAATATGTTAACAAAAGAAGAACAATCAATTAAACAAATTATTGCATGTCGTTTATCATTTACTAAATAAAAGATGTAAAAAATCATGCTATAAAAAACAATCTTTGTCTTTGGAACCTGCAGTGCACAACGATCGGCCCAGAATCAGAGGGTATGGAGGATTTGACTCTGCGCATGTAGATGAGTAGGGGTGAAGGTTGGTCTGGTACTCCGTGGTCAGGCCAGCCTGTAAATTGAAATTGTCGCACCTCGCGCTTCTCTGGTAAGGAGTTCTGCGAAAAATATTTTCGTCATTTTAATAAAATAAATTTGTCGAATGATTACAGTTGAAAAAGTTGATTTGTAATTTTGATGAATTGTAACAAATAAGTTACTCTTGATAGTTGGAATGTCCTAATGGTGTAAGTTGAAAGTTCAAGGACATCTTGCAATGTCACGTGCATGATGCCGTATGCCTCGGAACCTCTGGTCGGCCAGTATTGATCGCACTTTATCTTTTTACGGTTAAAATAATTTTTAGATTTATTTAGTGTTTTCATGTTGAGATCGTTTTCATTGTTACGATAAAATAATGAAAGGTCATCGTCATCCTACTCTGTTTCGTTCTTCAAGTTTTGTCATCATGACAATGGTGGTGCACCTGTGCTCCCATATCATCCTCCAAAAATCTCCAAATGTTTCGGGTAGCGGACCCTGTTCACGAAATAAAAAATTACTTCAAATATAAATTTATTACAAATAATATTTACAACCGATTTTAATTTCAATTATTTTTTGACTTCATTTAAAAACTATTTTGTCGACTGAACCAAATCCGAACTTTACTCATAGTCAAACACGTCAAAACAAATTCGACTATAGATCTTACAGAACCAAAACTAAAATTTGCAACAACAAAATTTTGTTCTCATCTTATCTAGTAATAATGCATAAAGTCAAATAGACACTCACAATCAATCTAAGCCCTCGCATTATAGAAAGCGTCTCCGAGAGATGTAAGAATTTATTTGCGTATTTTAACGGAGCGAGCATTATAATTCAAATGTTAACAGCGAGAAAATGAGCTAGAACCGGAGAAATAAAACATTTTCACGATATTAATTCAACAAATCGTCCAAAGTTTTCAAAAAAACTTTTAATTTTGTTTAATTAGAATAAGAAAATTTTGAAAAAAAATCAAGAATACTTCTAAAATATAAAAGCATAATAATTTCTTTGTTATTATGTAGTAGGTGATGTGTGTTATATTAAATAATTGATATACTCCGTTGGTACACCACCTCTGGAGTTCCCAAACGTTAATTTATTCATAAAACAATATCTCTAGCCAGAATTGCCAGCCAAACCTGAGTTGCAATGTACGCGTTGTGTTTGCGATATCCATCCATGAAGTTTGCGTTGATGTAGTTGCTGTCCGGCAGACCTTCCAGCAACTGCAGGGGCACACGTGAGTGGTCGTATGCAATGACGTTGGCGTATCTGTTCTTTGTCTTGTTTGCCTCCCTGCGTCATGCGGAAGGATTTAAAAAATGTATCCATGCTTGTTGATGGGAAAATGTTAAATTATAATTCTGGTGGTAAGTAAAAAGCATGAACTAATTTTTAAAAAACACTGATGTCACACAGCTGAGCATATTCTTGATTATTTTTGTTAGTTAAGTTGTAGTTCATTATGATAAAGGAGAAAAAGTGTAAGAAACTTTGACGATGTGATTTTCTGTAATGGAGATGCAAATTTAAAGAAGCAACCTGTTGGAACCCTCCCAAGTGAATTGCTGGCCGGGATCGATAGACTCGTACTCCAGTGAATATCTCGAACCTTCGTTACTTCTCAACCTTTCCACGTGGTCTTCAAAGTTCACAACTGGAATCGGAGGATGACTTAACATTCCTGTGTTGGTTGTCAATCGCCGATCACCATTTTTACTCATAACAATTTCACACAATTTGTTTGCATATAAAGTTTATCGAAGATTATTATTATTAATATTATCGTGATTATATTATTATATCAGTTTACTAGTAGTTGAACTAAAGATTATTATCCATCATATTTTGACGCCAAACGCTGATAGTAAATTTTTTAACACACTAGCAACTAACCAGGTGTTTGGAACGTCTGCCTTCTGATTTCTACAGGATCATTTGAATGGTGTGGAATGTCTCCTGTTGGGATGATCATCTTTGTGGGGTGGTGTGCCTTGCCTTTGTGACCTGAGTTACGTCTGCATACAAATTTAATTTTTTTTTTGTAATTCATTCACTTTGAGCAATAAAAATGTGTCTCTCTTAAATTTAACAAAAATATTTTTTTAATCATAGGTTTTTGCAAAATAATAAATTTAGGTTTTTGTTCCAGAGAATGCAAAAAAAAATATTCATAGAAGCAGCAGACTGGTTGATAACCTGATGAAGATAATGATGAGGATGAGAAGGAGAAGGATGACGATGGCTCCACAGACCGGTGCGACCACCCACAACAACTTCATGCTGGCGTTGTCCAAGAAGTTGCTGCTTCGATCGTGTTTCGCCATTGTTGACATTGGATGTGAAAATCGTGAAGAAGAAGATTTCTGAAGAAATGTTTTTTGAAATTTTTATCTACAATTTAAATTGAAAAACCATTTAAGACTTTTGCTAAAATTAAAACATAGAATCACATTAAAACTAACTCCATCTAAAGTGTAAGCTCTAACGAATACTCTGTAGAACTGCCCGCTCTTCAGGGGTCTGTTGTAAACGTGTCCCATGCCTGACAGTTTTCCATCTCCCAGCACAAACTCCCCTGGTACGTTTCCTGTATCGAAACGAGCTGCTACGTACACCTCCAACTGGTCCGGATGAATCTCGTCTCGACCACTCCGAAGCAGGTCCTGACGTGAATGAAAATGGCACAATGTTGGTTACTGATGGTATTAATGATATTGCGGAGTGTTGATTGATAAAATTTGTTACACCTTTTGAAATATTCAAGATTGCAAAGTTTGATGAAAATGTGATAATGATAATAATCAGTACTTGTTCAATGAGTAGTTGTTCAGGCTTAAGTTCTTCACTGATTTCATTAGGGACCACAATGATGTCATACTGGCTGATTTGCCCGTGTTCCTCTGGTGGCAGGTAGAGATGAATTTGAATGGTGTGGTCGCTGAGAACTCTGATGAATCTTGGTGGCTCCAGTCGTGGAGGAGCTGCAAACGTTGAGACCAAACGTTATTTGAACGATTTCATACATTCAATAAACATCCAGAATGAACAACAAACAAATTTTCAACCTTCCATTTTGCTTTCTAATTTTAATTGATTAGGTGGTCCTGGTATGTCGTTGGGATAATATGCGCTGATGTTGAAGTGGTACTGAGCTTTTGGAGCTAGGTTTTCGATGAATGCAGTTGTCTCATCCTTCGGAATGATTGTTGTCTTCTCACTGTCAATCAGTGTGTGCTCAACATTATCGGACATGAACTTCTTTCTACCGACATATGTCAGCTAGGGACAAATAGATTTTTTTGAAATATTGTTATAGTACATCGATTTTTAAAATTTTAAATAAAAAAAGTTGAACTTGTTTTCAAAAATATTTATAGGTTAATTCCTTTAAATTTTTAATTCAATTAAAAGCATGAAATATTGAAAATTAATGTTCAAGATTGGTTGTTCTAATGACAATTTTTATTTTGCTTTATTTTCACAAAATTTTAATTAAAAAATATTCAAAAATAAATGGCATCAGAAGAGTAGCTTTTAATAATTTCAAGGCAGAACACATCACGGCAGTTTATTGGCGCGTGAAATTAAATTACTTTTCCAACAAAAATTGAATTGATTGACCGCCTAGCATGAAAGGACTAGCAACAATCAGTCAGTCAAGCGCCTACCTTGTACTTGGTCACTCCTTTCTTCACTGGCGGCCTCCATTCCAGCACCACTGAGGATGACGTCAGATCCCTGTATCTGAACTCGGTGACCATGTCGTTGAAATCTGCTGAATATTAATTTATATCATTTTTTTAATTCTTAATCTGCTGAATATTAATTTATATCATTTTATAATTCTTAATCTGCTGAATATTAATTTATATCATTTTTTTAATTCTTAAAAGGCAATACTAGATTATTTTAAGCAAAACATTAACAAAAACAATTTCTGCTTTAGAAAGGTCTTAGTTATTTTTTTCAAATCAACATTTTAATCAAATACTAACCAAATCAACATTTTAACTTAATCAACATATGAACCAAATCAACATAACAACTAAATAAATTATTGTTTGCAGATAGTTAAGCAATTGTGTTTGGATTTGGTCAAAATGTGTTGATTGTATTAAATTTAAATCATTCCATTTTCAAAATTTTCATTAAAAAGTAGTAAAAATAAGTCAGAATATACTTTCAGGAATGAGATCGTTCGTGAAAGCAATGTCCGAATAATTGCTGAGTCTGTCGTTTGGCAACTTGGCTTGCACTCTCACGGCGTACGCCGTTCTTGGCTCTAAGCCTTCTATGATAGCCACTGTTGACGGACCTTATATATATATATATATATATATATATATATATATATATATATATATATATATATATATATATATATATATATATATATATACATATATATATATATATACATATTTTAAGCAAAACAAAAATTCTTAGGCCAAATCTTCTCCGACAGCGTTTGTCTGAAGATGTTGATATAAGTTAGATCAGCGGATCAGCATTTTAAGAAGGACTGCTGTTTTATACCTCGTAAAAAATCATCGGTTAACAATTACAAATTCTTACCAATCTTTGCAAAAATAATTAAACTACTGAAAGCTGAGCTACTAACCAGTTTCAATCATTTGCCACTTTGACATGTCAGGATATGCACTGGGACTGAAGTAGAGGAGGTAGCCAATGATGTGGGGGTGAGGTGGCGGGTCCCAGGCTGTTTCCAGCGAGGTTGGTGTCATCCTGCGAATGTGAAGATTGGTCGGAGTCAGAGCATTCTCGTCATTGGAACCTTTCATGAATGCTGTGCCAACGATGTGAAATAATTTTTAAGGTTGTTTAAGGTAATCAAATTCAGTAGTTTTGATGCAACTATTGCTTGTATATTAATTATTTGTTCTGTCTCTTATCTATTCGTATTAATTAAATAAATATTTTATTTAAAAGTTAAATTGTAAATTATATAACCCGCATAAAGCTAAACGATCCTAACAAACCCCAAGCACGTGATATTTTGTTGATAAACTTAGGTTTTTTCAAGTTTTCAATGAGAGTTTTAAAAATAATTTAAAAATTTATTTAAATAATTGCAATTTTTTAATAAATGTTTATCGCGGTTACTTTTTGGAAAAGTTCTGAAAGGCAATTTGTTGGTCCACGGTCCAGAACCCCTGGCAGTGTAGGCTCTCACGAGGAAAATGTAGTCAGTGTTCTGCTCCAGGTCAACAACCTCGAGACTCTGTTGGGTCACGTTCCTAAAACTAGAGTTGTTCTCGTTGTATCTTTTGTAGTAGTTCACCTTCATTTCAGGATTATTGTTTCAAAGTTTCATTTTGGGATCAATTGTTCCAAAATCATGTTTACCCAAAAATTTACTTAAATTATTATATTATTATTTTAAATTTTTAATAGATATCAACAGGCAGGCGACGATAAACACACACTGAGCACACGGAAATACGCACGAATGCGTTCAAGCAACACACAGAAATTCCATGTGACAAGCAAGATTTTCCTTGCGTTCTAACCGAGTTACTAGGAGGTTGTTGCTACTCACACGTAAATATTTTTGCCAATAATGCCATTAACGTAGCATATCATGTTGTACAATAAATGGCAGCAGCCTAAAGTACAGACACCTCGTAAATGACAATTTCTCCGTTTCTGTCTCTCTTCGCCGGAGGGTCCCACAGCAGCCTGACACTGGACGACGACACACCCACTGCAGTGAAGTTCTGTGGAGAACCTTCTGGGCCTGATTGGTTAGTTGGTCGGTTGATTGTGTAGTGATTAATTGGTTGATAGAATTGTTGATTGATTGGTGAGTTGATTGTTTAGCGATTGATTGGTTAATAGAAATGATGATTGATTAGTTGGCTGGATGGTTTTTATTGATTGCTAGTTAGTTAATTGCTTGGTTGGTCTGTTTATTGATTGCTTGGACTAATAGAAAAAATGGAAGTATATCTGGTGTTAATGCTCACAGTTGTTTAAGTTTTGTTTCATTCAGAAATTGCAAAAATAATATTTAAACAGAAGTATAGCCGTGATTTGAGAAGTGTTTAAAAATCTTCAACTCAGTTGTTATTTCCATTTCATAATACGTTCATTGAGTTTAAATAATTATATATAATTTTAATGATTTGATTTTACCTACTTATTGATAATTCAATAGATGATTGTCAAGTTTATTCGGATAAACGACCGGCTTGTTCCAACCATCCTTATTCATTGCTAGCTCAATTATTTCTTTAGCAACTAACTTGACTTTTTTGTCTAAAGTTACAGCTTTGAAATTTGTTACAGGTAAGAGTAACACGGTCTGCCCGTGCGGTTTCATGTTTGTTTTGATTTAAAATTTATAGAGCGCATATATGTTCGCGGGTATATGTCCTTCTATGATAATTGTTGCTGCCTTCTGAACGCGTAGAGATCTCTGCTCGTCAGGTGTACCTCCGATTGTTGGATACTTGATTCTATAGATTTCTCTATCAAAAACGTCCACTTCAGTTTTATATATCGCATAAAAACATTTAAAAAAGAAAAATTATAGCCGCAAAGTTTTCCTCTGCATACTTGCATCATCATTGTCAGTTAGACTCATTTAGAAAACTCAGTAGCCATCCAAATGGTTATTCGCTTACAACTATTCAACATCAGCAAACTGCTATGTTTAAATACTGTTACATTGCACAACGTTATGTTAATGAAATAAAATATGTATCTTTATGTATCGCTGCTCGCATTGGTCTACGTGCGATTGGTTGAGCGATTTATAGAGTATGCCTTATCTAACGATTCTTATACTTTTTCTCAATGAAATAAGTAGTTAGCACCCATCGTTAAATAGACAGACTGAAACTTTACAAGACAGAAAATTGTATTAGAAGGTTATCAAGCATTACAAACAACATTGAAAGATCGTGTCGGCTGTAAATCGGCGGTGAGTGTCCAATAAAAATTTTATGGGGTCATTAGCCAGGTCAACTGTTTGTGAATATGGAAGGATGAAATGTTTATTGAGTATCCATTTCGTTTTGGGAAAATTTTATTGCCAGCCTGGTGCTATAAAGCGGGCCGTTAGATTAATAACAGCGCCGGACTCGCCATTATTATTACTAATAACCTGCAATAATAACAAAAAATAATAATAAAGTAACAATTTTTATTTTCAATCATTTTTTCATACAGAAGATAACGATATATAGTCTAACAATTTATTTTTTAACTCGTCCATCTATTGTCATTCGAAACAAGAGAAGTTGAAGACAACAGGTTCAGCGTGCAGACTCAAGAAAACAATCAAAGGTTTTCCAAGCTGGATGGTTTTTAATAGGACACAAACAGAAAAAAAACAAGCAAACTGGTAAACATAAATATAAAAATTGAGAAAATACTATAAAATGCTTACCAGTTGAAAACAAGTTACACATACAAAGACTTGTTTTCATTAATAGATTCTATCTGTTTAGATAATAATCGTATAATAAAATATTTTGATAGAGATGTAAGTGTATTGATTTTGCTCATTGTGATGTAAGTACATGGGATCATTAGGTAGGCTATTTCTAGTAACAAACTCCATACACGAAAACCCAATTAGACTAATTAACTGTATGTAAGTAGTAGTTGGTCGTTGCAAGCGACAGAGCTGAGTGATGTTGTGTGTATATTGGAGCCAACAGTGCCGTACACTTGCTGAAATGATGAATGGTTCACTTGGCATTGACACGGAAAATTGCCATCATGAAGGTGTCATCGTAAAAATAAAGTTCTTCATCTTCGACAGGTTGTTGCCGTCGTTGTTGTCGCTCCTGTCCTTTAGCGGTAGTTCTTTTTATGATTGCTGACGTTGTGGTTGAACTTTGGTTGTTGTTATTTTTGGATTTTGTTGTTGTTTTGTTTGTCGTTGTTTGGCATGATGATGTTGATTCAATGCTACAGATTTATAATTTGTAGGTAGATAAATTTGGCTTACAAAAGTTTCAGCTTGTATTTGCTATTATTTCCTCATTGATTCAAAAATTTCCTGATATGAAACTCTAAAAAAACCAGTATGACGGTGGAAAATGCATCTCGTAAATTTATAAACGTAAATATGAATCATATATGGACAAAAACAACAGTAACATTAAAAGCAGCGATAAACTTAAAACTCAAAATTTTTCGTTCGCAAAAATTAGGAAATAAAAAATTTAAAAAATGAAATAAAATAAAACTGATGGAATAAATTCATGCTAGTAAAATTTAAATAATTTATATTAGAAATAAAATAGAATTTTATATGATTTAATAAAATTAAATTTTCATTTATACGATGTGAACAATGAAATACAAACTACACCGTTCCATGTTAGCTTGCAAATGAATGGATTAAATTTTTCAAAATTCATGAAAAAAATATATAAAATTGGATCATCATGCAGTATTTTTAAACTATTTAATTTTTGGAAAATAACGTGACTGATTTATTGTATAAAAATTTTAAAATTATTAAATGAATTATTTATATTGTTGATGAACAAAATTTTATAGATTAATCTAATTAGATTACGTTTTAAAGGAACATCAAGAAACCATACAGATTTCAAAAACGTATTAAATTTTTAATGGCCAACAGCACAACATCAACAAGACTAATAACAACACTAACAACAAAACATCAAAGACAGCAACAACAACACAACCAGCTACAACAACAACAACTGTAACAATTGCTATTAACCAACCAGTCTCGATGTTGTTGTCTCCACATTGAAACATTAAGGCGGTGCAAGCAATCAACAACAAGCAGTAAAACACAACCACAATTAACTTTTAATACCCGGCTAGATAAAACATTAATAAAAATATAACAGCAGCTATGACAACACTTTCCATTGAGGAACGAAAAATGGTAAAGTTATTAAACCAACAATAAAAAACATTGCAACAACAAATGAAAACACATTATTGCAACAAAACACAAAAAAAACAGAAGCAAAACAATAAAAAACCACAGCAAAAAAAACAACAAAACACAAAAAACAATAAAAATACAAAAATGAAATACAATACAAAACCTCTGCCAGGCTGCATTCCTAGCATTAACTCCGTACTATCGGTCGTCATCGCTGAAAAACGAAATGCAATTAATTTAATTCAATAATAATTTTTTCAACATTGATATAAAATTTAAAAATTATTTAGAAAATCTTTTATCGTTGCCATAATTAATTATCTTGTTCCTAGCATATAAACCCACAATAATAATAACAATAATATTATTAATAATTATTATCATTAGTAATATTTTACTTTACCTAACCATAATTTCTATTTCTTCATCATTGTTATTCGTTTTTGGAGCTTATTTAACACCAACATCATCTTCATTGCTATCATCATCGTCATCACTATTAACACCAACATCGTCATCACCATCAACATTTTTGCTATCAACATCTTCATCACCAACATCATCAACATTGCCATCATTAACGCCAATATCGCCGTCAACATTGTCACCATCATCATCACCACCACCATCATCATCATCATCAACAACAACAACACCAAAGACATCATCATCATCATCATCATCATCATCACCATCATCATCATCATCACCATCATCATCATCATCATCATCAACAACAACAACACCAAAGACATCATCAACACCATCATTCTCATCACTAACATCGTCATCCTCATCAACACTGTCATCATCAACGAAACTGACAAAAATGAAAGACATCAGATTAACCAGCGCACATTTATCGGTAAGTGTCTTGAATGTTTTAGGCTTGGTATCAGCACCGTCACCCTTAATGGTATAGGCCAGCATTCTGACGGAGTACTTGCTGCTCGGGCTGAGTTCATGTATGACGACTGAAGTTGTGGTGTCGTTCCGTACATCTACCTTGGTTATGTGGTCATCTTCTTTTGTGACGAATATGTTGTACTTCATGTTCTTCACGTTGCTGTCGATGTTGTTGTGGTTTTTGTTACGGTTGTTGTGCAATTTGTTGATCCTGTTGTTGTTATTATTGATGTTGTTGTTGTTGTTGTTGTTGACGTTTTCCATTAAGCGTCTGAAGCGTCCGTTAGACTTGTGAGTAGTGCCGTCATTGTTGATGTCGTAGGTGAGGATGTTGAAGTTGTCGTTGTTGTGATTTTTGTGATCAATGTGGTTGTAGTAGTAGTTGTTGTTGTTGTGGCTGTTGTGGTGGTGGTTGTTGTGGTTGATGTTGTAGATGTTGTTGATGTTGTTGGACATTTGATGGATGGGGTTCGTGTCTATAAAAACGTTGTCGTTGAAAACAATATTGCCACCAAAATGGCGACTCCAGTTTCCCCGCTGATGCAACTTTTCATGCAATGAACTGTGCCTTCGATTTCGTCCGCGAATGTTTTTGTTGTTTCTGTTGGTGTTGCTCTTGTTGTTGTTGTTGTTGTTGTTGTTGTTGTCTCCAATTTTGTGACCATTAGATGATTTCCGTTGACTATCACGTGATGACAAACGCGCTTCGTAATCAACATCTTCTTCATCTTCTTCATCATCGTACTCATCATTATCGTCATCATTGTACTCGTCGCCTTTGTTGCGTCCACCACCACCACCATCGTTACCATCATCATCGTCATCAATCCTGACGATGTAGACGTAGTAACCTCTGATGACGCCGTTTGCATTCCTTGGCGGCAACCAGCTGATCCTGACTGACGTGTCTGTTACGTCATCAATTTTCATGCTGCGTGGTTCGCTGGGCACTGCAAGGATCATGATGATGATGATGATGATGATGGTGGTGGTGGTGATGATGACGATGATGGTGACGATGATGATGATGATGATGATGACGATGATGATGACGACGACGATGATGATGACGATGATGATGATGATGATTACAATGATGATGATGAGTACATGATGATGATTGTAATGTAATCATCATCATCATGTACTCATCATCATCATTGTAATCATCATCATCATCATGTACTCATCATCATCATGGTATTCATCATCATCATCATGTACTCATCATCATCATTGTAATCATCATCATCATCATGTACTCATCATCATCATTGTAATCATCATCATCATCATGTACTCATCATCATCATTGTAATCATCATCATCATCATGTACTCATCATCATCATTGTAATCATCATCATCATCATGTACTCATCATCATCATTGTAATCATCATCATCATCATGTACTCATCATCATCATTGTAATCATCATCATCATCATCATCACCATTTACCCACCATCTTCATCAGTCCTGACATCGATGTGATTTGACCGTTCGGCGACAGACGAATCGTCACTGAGGACCGATTCAACGAATACTCGGTACATCGCCCACTTTTGTAAACCCGACAAAACGAAAGATGTTGTCTTCAACGGTAATCTGATCGTTTTGAATGTTGTTGTTTGCAAGTTGTTGTTGTTAATGGATTTTGTGCCATCTCTGACGGCGTTAACGTTTTTGTTTCTGTGGCCCCTGTGGCTGTCGTCAGCGAGCAGTTGATAAATAAGGTGGTAGTGGCGAACGTGTGGCAGGAGTGTCGGTGTCCAGGAGAGGATGACGCTGGTCGAGTTCAGTGGCTTGCCCTTCAGTTCCATCGCCTGCTTGACCGCTTCTGATTAGTCGGTCGTCGTTTTAAACATTTTTTAAAAAAATTTAAATGAATATTTATCGAAATTTGTTGCATTTGAATTAATAAAGAATGTTTAAAAAAAGGCAATGAACACTACGCAAGTAAAACGCATATGACTGGTAAAAATACAATGCTTTCGTAAAACAAAGATGACAGTTCAACCAGTGTTTACACAGACGAACCGTGCAGATCATTCTAGTAATCTTATGATCAAAAGTTCTAGCTCAACGCGTAAAATAATATTGAAGGTCTAAAACATATATTTTGCATGAACATCAACATTATTGATTAACTTGTGTACACTCCCACAAACTCATTTGAAACAAATGTAGGTAACAATTACAATGCAATAAAATGCAATAACGTGTGAATGTACATGATACGCATATACAAACACACTTTTGCACACACACCGTTACACACACACACACACACACACACACACACACACACACACACACACACACACACACACATTTATATCACGCATTTACACATTGATAAAACGAGCGCTTTTACTCACGTTCCCAAAGACGTACGTGGAGTATATGTGAACCACCTTACACCTAACAGCGCAAAACATTTTGAAAAAAAAAATCTTATTTATAGTCCATCGCATGAGTTCAACAAAAGGAAATTAAGGAAATGGAAATGATATGCATCCCATTTACTGCGTTAAATTGGAGTTGGTACATGCTATCTTCTATAATTGTTTGTACGTATGTAAGGGTGTACGTATGCAATATGTATGTGTACATGCGTGTGTATGTGTGTGTATACATACATGTTTGTTTGTAGTTTGTATATATTTTTTATTATTATTAATAAAAATTATAGAACGCCAATTAGAATTAAAAATTTTCATCAGCACTGTCTTTTAAGTCAATTCATTTTAATTCTTAATTTTTAATTTCATGAGCGTTAATCTCGATTGATGAAGTTCATCTGGCAGTCTATTCTAAATGTCGGTCCTTACACGACCGTATATGTGTGTATGTGTGTGTATATTTGTGTACATGTATTATGTATATATGTTTGTTTGCATGTTTGTTTATATGCAGATTCGTATTTATGTACTTTTGTATGATTGTAAACATTGGAGACCTCAGGTCAGCATCATATCCATTCATAACTTTTCATTTGGTCAAATTAATTTTAGTGATTGCCAGTTAAGTTCAGTAATTTCATCGACAGCAATTTGAACTATCGCATTTTTATATTCTTATTTTTTGTGAAGCGTTTTAATTTATTCAAAAATTCTTCAAAATATATGAAGTGAAATATGAGCGTAAAACAGTTACAAAAACTCTTGCTCATAGAACAATGATGCAGAACTCTATTGTAAAATTTTCTAATTTGAATTTCTGTTTACGATTCTGAACGATAAGCTTCTCCTCTCTACATAAACTGCTATAAACAAAGACATACATTTTTTTTAAATATTTCAAAAACAAAAATATTTTTAAACATAAACTCACAGACATGAAAAAAAAACAAAACACACACCCACAGCAGCATGCATACCTGCAATTAGCACTTGAGTTAAGGTTCAAAAATGTTGGATAACTTAAATAACCACATTCAGAGCAACATCAAATAAACAAAAAACACTAAGGCACACACACACGTACACGTACACACGTACACACACACACACACACACACGTACACACATACACGTACACCCACTCGTACTTGGTTTTTTATAGTACCACCAACAAAACCAACATTACGCACACACAAATCAGTATACACCAAGTGGCTCTACAATTGCATCTGCAAAAATCAAATTGCGTTTGTTAGGACTTGAATGTTAAAAAATATTACAAGTATTCAGTAAATAATTTAAAGAATGACATCATATCTAATATACATATGAGCAAATATAATGAGCCAGTAAAACTATTTGATCATGAGGAGTATGTACCAGAGCAAGAACCCACCACTGAAAAATAAATGTCCTGTTTTAATTGAATCTTTCTTTCTCTATGATTTCACAGCACTGTGTATAAGTTTCATACTTATATACAAACATAAACACAAACACACACACACACACACACACACATGCACACGTACAAAAATAATAAAATAAATATAAACCTAGCTATTAATATAATTTTATTATATACAATTCACAATGCCTGCTGCTGATTACACACACGCCCCAATTGACCACGCCCCAACTGACCACGCCCCAACTGACCACGCCCCAACTGACCACGTCCCAACTGACCACGCTCTTCTCGGCTAATTCAATTCAACTCACATGCAACACCATGCCTCGCAAATTGCTGCTAAAATTTGGGCAATCATCGAAACGTGCATGATGCTGAAAGTTTTGTTTGGAAAATATTTCAATGCTGGTGCGATGCATGCAAATTTATTTCAAAATAAATTAATTAAAATTCGTTCAAGCAGAGGTTCAGAATATTCACCAAGGAGGTATTCACGATATTAAGATGGAAATATAAAAACAAACAATGAAGAGACATTTGTACAAACACCGACAATTTGTACACACGTCAACAAACGAGCAAAAGTGGTATACACGCATACACGCATATTTACAGGCATGCGTATATTTATATTTATGTATGTATATATATATATATATATATATATATATATATATGTATATACATACCGCAAAATTGCGTACACACGTACGTACGCATATGCAGAGAGAGAGAGAGAGAGAGAAAGAGAGGGGGAGAGACGCGTGAACATTTTATTGTACAGCAGAAGCAAAGCATGAGCAAGAACGAACGATGGAGAAATAATTAAGATTGAGAAGAAACTGCAAGGAAAATCAATAGCCGTATATGCGAGTATGTATGTGCTTCCATGCGTGCTTCCGTGTATGCGTGTGCGTGTGCACGCGAACGTTTCGGCGTTTTATAAATTGCACTTTGTTGTGTAGCTACTTGTGTCAATTTCTACCTTATTGTTTTTTATTAATCTGTCAGCTGAACACATTCATATGCTAATTAATTATTATACGATTAACTAACTCATATGAAGCAAATTTCTAAGTAGATTAGTCCATGTGTGTTTATGATTGTGCATCTGTTATGCTCATAAGTGTAGATTATTTATTTATACGTGTGATCAGTTCTGAAAATATATTAAATTGAATTTGATGATATCTAAACAGTATAATAAGAATGATAAATGATCGATTATACTTCCAATCTATGCATTCATATGTAACAATCGAGATGGTGAATATTTTCAGTGCGATTTTTTGGCAGTTTTGCAGCTAGATGAGACATTTCTATGCAATATTCCGGAGCGCTTAAGTGATTTATGTTAATGTTTGTTAATGGCTCGTCCCACGATTTTTATTCATGTGGTTATATTTTATAAATAAATTTGTATCTGCTTGCGTCAACCCAACGTATACATTTTTTCTAATAAATATTTTTTCTAATTAATTATATAAATAAATAATAAATAATTATTTTTTATTTGCATTACTCAAGCTTTGTTATTTTGGCAATAATGTATGCATTTGACTGATCATATGTTCGCTTTAATAGGTATAAGATCATAAACTATTAACGTTAAGATTTTTGTTAGTAAAACTTCCACCCATACAACCAGAGTACTCTCAATTAGGAGTATGAAATAAAGGGCAATTTACATTGAAGCAGAATGTTCATAATGGAACAAACGCTGGAAACAACATTCAGTGCATGCAACGGCCACATTTTTCCTCACATACAAACAAAAACAATATACTTTTTCATGAAAAGCGAAAAAATTAATTTGATTGCTAAACAAATCAACCTGTTTTACTGCCGACAAAAATCTTGACGCTATCTGATAACAGACCATCCCCCAGACTGTTAGAGGCCAGGATTTTGATGATGTAGGTGGAGTTGGCGAGGAGGTGGTGGAGAACTGTTGAGTGGGTGCTGGCGCTGGTGCTGACGAACTTCCAGTTGAATGATTTGTGGAAGGTTGAGTTGTTCCAGAGGTCGTAATATACTTTGTAATTCTGCGTTTGTGATTGTCGGGTTTTCTTGTTTAGATTAATTAGGCTTCTTTGGTAATGTTTTTGTTTTTTGATAAATTTGACGTTTTTAAAAGTTTCAGAAAAATATTCTCAATTAAAAGTGCGTACGTTGTGCCTTTAATTTCAATACATAAAATTTGAAATCTCAAGCACATCAAATAATTAAGTCCTTGCTGTTTTTGTCTCATCAAGATCATACTTTTCTAAAATATTTATCCCAAAAATTATTGTTATTGTTATTAATAACACTAATAAAAATAATAAAAACAAGATTATTATTATTATTAAAATTATTATTTTTACGTCTCAAAGTCATCCTTACAGACCTTAATGATGCCGTTGGGTTTTTCTGGAGGTTCCCAGGTGACGAGGACACTGGTTTCGTTATGTAGGTTCACTTTTAGTTTTTTTGGAGGGCTTGAAGCTGTTTGACGAACATTTTATCGTGTAAAGTTTTGTCCTTGTTGTTGATGCTGTTTGTGTGTGTGTTGTTTGAAAAAGTTGTGTTGTTGCAGTTGTTACTGTTGTTGTTGTTGTTGATTCGCTAGTTTTTGTTGATGTCATGATGCTGTTATTGCTTTAAAAACCATATCATTGTTGTAAAGATTGTTTCATTTGTGGTTAAAAAAAATCATGTTTGTATAAAAATAAATTCGTCATAAAAAAATTAGCGATTGTTGAAAACAAATAATAATAAGATAAACGTGATTGTGTTGCTGCTCTGTTAACATTGAAGACGTTATTATTACAACGTTTGCAATGCATCGTTATTTACATCGCAATAACAACTGCTATAACGCGCTTATTAACTACTATTAAAGTATGTTACGATAGTAAGTTACACAATTTTGAACTAAGAACATGCACTCACCTCGTATTCTCGACATCAGTATGCATGAAAACAATTCTAACAACTGCAACAGCAGCAACAACAACAACAATAACAACAACGCAACAACACTAAAACTACTGTTAAGGGTAAAACTAACACAACATTAATAAAAAATCATATAGGAAACTATAAGAAATAAATTCTAAATATTTAAAAGCCTATCATAGCAAAGTTTTATTCGAAGCAATTAAACTAAACATTTGAACTGAAATTTTAAAATTAATAGACGTGAAACCATAATTTGCATAATTGAAAAAGCTTAAAAGAAACTGGTAAATTTTGAAGACACAAAATAAAGTAACATAAAAAGTTATTTGAAAACATAAAATGCTTTTCTAAATAATGTAATAAAAATATACAAAAAAAATTTAACACATATTTACGTTTTAACCAGTTTTCTCAATTAGAAAATTGGTTATTTAGATTTGTAATCATGGGCTAAACATTAAAATTTAAAATTAATTTTTGAAATAGGACGAAGGCGTTTTAATCCCAGTTACTGGCTGGTTAATTAATTACATTTCCATTCATTCAAAAATATAAGTTTTTTGTTTTTCAAGAAATTTGATTGTAAAATAATAAAATAAAAATGAATCCATCATCCCCCCCCAAAGAAGTTCAGTACGCAAAGAGATCAGTACAATAGTTCGAAATAGCACGAAATGGAGAAGGTGTAAGCAAGGTGCAGGAGGGTGCATGCATCCATTGTTGTCCTTTCATCTCTGACTCATTCCTACTGCTTCAGTCTGTCTCACAGCTCCGCTAATTACCAGCGATGACGAGAAAACAATTTTGTCCTTTTTTCATCATCTTTTTTTAACCGTCAACCTTTTATTATCACTGTAATCATCGTAATCATTGTAAATATGACCAGAATTTTAACAATTGTCATCCGTTTTTTCTGTGCTACCATTTATATTTTCGTCATCATCATATAACTCTGTACAACTCTATATAACTCTATACAATTCCATACAACTATATACTGCTCTGTATAACTCTATAAAACTCTAAATAATTCTATATAACTTTATAAAACTCTATATAACTCTATACAACTCATTAAAACTTTATCATGTCCTGTAGCGAGTCTAAGGGGCAGAAGGGGTCTTAAGGTTGACTGGATCCGCCACTGGTCACGCCATGTTAACGACGTCATCCATGTAGTCGTTTGTCGTCATCATTGTTTTTGTCGTCTTAATTAATATCATCGTCATAATTGTCATCATCGTCATCGTCATAATTGGCGTCACGCAACTATTGTCGTCATTCCTATTGTACTACTTATAACGGCTTATATAATCATCCACAGGAGGTGATTGTGGTGATTGTGACGATTATGGTGGTTGTGGCGATAGTGGTGGTGGTGGTGATTGTGGTGGTGATGGCTGTAGGAGTGTGTCGGATTTCGAGGATGTGATTAATTGAGAGTAAATAAGCGTAGAAAGGAAAAGGTCCAAATGGGATGAAAACATCATTGTTTGAAAGAATTAATAAGTTAGTGAATTAATTAGATTAAAGAACTAAACTAAGAAGTTAGGAAATGTTGCTGGGTCTTGAGTGAGTGAAGAAAAGAGTGAGTGAGTGAAGGAAAGAGTGAGTGAGTGAGTGAGTGAGTGAGTGAGTGAGTGAGTGAATGAGTGAGTGAGTGAGTGAGTGAGCGAGTGAGTGATCCCAAATTAAATATTTTAAAATTCCAATACTTGTTCGTAAATAGTTTGTTAAATGGAGTTTTAATTGTTCTTATAAACATTTTTATTCCACTCACAAACAAGTATATTATTTCTCTTCGTACAAACAATTTAACGTGCCTTTATGTGCGTTCAATGACATTGGAACTAAAATGATTGGATATAAATCAGTAATCTTCAAACGGTCATCTTCCAATACACCAGCTGATAATTCAGTCGGTGTATTGGCTGATTCCATCTTGTCTGTCACACGATTCCACGCACTATATAGGCGCTCCAATGTGGAAGTTTCCCTTCGTTCCTATCACATAATTCTTAAACTGTTCACTAAACAATATACTAAAAAGCATAAATCGTGATTTATATATAATTTTCTATGAAGTTGTTTTACAAAGAAAAAAGCCCAAATATACTTTCCGTAAAAGTTTTTGGTGTTTTTTCAATGAGCGCATATGGGATGGAATGTTTTATGTAAGTGCTCAAGTAAGATATAACAACAACGACAACAACAACGACTGCATCAACAACGATAAAAATAATCACCACAACAACATTAACCATACCAATAATAACAATAAGTTTTCACATAAGAGCAATTATTTGGTTACGAACGGATATGCACAGGCAAGTAAAATTGTTATCCTTATCATTTAAATGGCTACACAGGCATCATTTTTCTCTTGCATACACAAAACATTTACATAAATGCAACTGTTTGAGTTTGCTTCGCTCTTTCCCTCCCTCTCTCTCTCTCTCTCTCTCTCTCTTTCTCTTTCTCTCTGTTTTTTCTTGTAGCTAATTCTTTTCTTTCTTCTCCCTCCTCATTATAATCAATCGGTGGGAGGAAGCACGCATGGATGGCTGGCTGGGACCTCAATATGTTTGCGTCTGTACGCCTATAATATATATATATATATATATATACATAGAGAGAGAGAGAGAAAGAAAGAGAAAGAGAAAAAAAAAGTTGGGTCGCCCGCATTGTTCAGTGCGGAGTGCAGCACGTCGTTCATTATCATCGCCATTTCCGGTTCATTCATCACTCAACGATGCATCAAAATTCGGTGCAATTAATCACTTTCTCTTATTGATTGATTTAATTATCTATTAACTTTCTCGTTATTTAAAATCAGAATTGTAGTCTATATAATTTACAGTTGCAAAACTGAACCACAGAACACCAACAACGTAAGGAACAAGTCCGAGCAGCAATAATGATAGCAATGTTTAAGATGCTTACAGCTACACGCACGCTTCTGTTCCATGACAACAACGTCCGTCGATGAAATACCAACATCAACAGCCCAATGCCTAATACATGCCAAACATTCTCATTGTTACTTTTTGACATTTTTTTTAGTTTTGTGACTTTTTCAAATTTCTTAATTGTTAAACCAGTTTTTTTAATTACATGACCATCTGAATCTCAATCATAAAACGAACAACATTGCATTCAATCTGAAACTTTTGAAAATTCAACCACAGATTTATTTGAATTCTGGTCAAACTAGACAAACTGTTTTGCAGTAAAAAAAATCAGAAATTTGTTAGAGGCGCGTTTAAATTGAAATTGCAGAGATTGATGCAACAATCAGATAGGTCGTTTGGAGTGATCTGTATTCTAACGCGTGTTGGCAAATGGATGCAAATGTTGGAATATACTTGATCGAACACCATTTTTGAATTTTTCAAAATAAAATCAAAGAATATCAGCTAAAAAACAACTTCTTCAGTTTGAAATTGTGATACAATGGCACATAGACACACACACACACACACAACACCACACAAACACAGACAGACACATGCAGACACAAAGATACACGAACACCAGACCAATGTGCTCGATATTGATAAAGTTGAGTGAGATTGATGTTAGAATTATTAAATGGAATGATTAGCAGAACCTTCATCCGTATGTTATAAGCAGCTGGAACGTATGTGGTCACGTTTTAAATGATGAATGTACTCAACAATGTTTATCGCTGAACTCAATCAAAAATTTATTACAATGGCTAATTTTTTATCTATCACATTTCTTTCAACATTGCACGAAATAGTTGCACACATTTCATTCCAATTATATTAAAAAAAAAAATACACATTACAATGTTTTTTATTAAATTTTATTAGTTCTAAGTTGATTTGATATTTATTCTTTATTGATCTTTCCACTGTTTAGCAGTTTGTTTGTTAATTTAATTGACCGACTGCCTATTTTTTAATTCATTTGACCACCCATCGATCTATCCGGTTGCCATGCATGCATCATGCTAACACCAAACAATGTTTAACCAGACGGCACCTTTATAAATCTTGTGCTAGCTCTCACATTAACTCAACAAATGACATTTACAGGTCAACAACAAATCAACAACCAAAATTACAACAATAAAAACAACAACAAAAAAGCAATAAAATCAACCACAAAATTAAAAAACAACAATCCCAACAACAAAATCATAACATTAACAACGACAACAAATGTTGGAACAAAAGACTAAAAGGGAAGAAGGTAGTTTAATTAGAGAAGAAGGTCAGAGACCAGTTTGAATGAGGTTTAGTAGTAATTTTGGAAGTTTGATCTTTTTGCGTTGAATTATTCACGTCGCGAACACTTTTTAAGTCATTCAGCATGAATTGTGTGAATTGTGTTTGTTTAAAAATAAATGAATAGAGTAACAAATTAAGCAGTGCAGAAGTCATTTAAAACTCAAAAATAATGGGACATCCACTTTAAACATACAGAAATAACGAGAAAATTAACAAATTGGAACTCTATTCACTCGTCACTCACATTTCATTCATTCATCACATACTACTCGTTTATCTATCCATTCATTCATTCATCCATATTTTTATCAATCTATACATCCACACGTACTTGTTTCGCCTGTCCTGACGTCATAAGGAGCGGAAGGAGGTCCCTTGCCCACGTTGTTCTCGGCTGACACTCTGAATTCGTATTGAGCGTAGGGGTGCAGTTTGGTGACTGTACATTCTGTCTGCTTGCATACGTATTCATTCATGTTACGACCTTGAGCCTGTGCGTTCTTTTGTCTAAAAAACGAAAATTTCACATGATTGTACATCGCGATCCATTAAAAACATTATGCCAGCGGGAAAGTATTTATAACAAATCCGTCATTAAAAATGCAAAAAAGTTGCAATTGATAAAACGTGATGCAGAAACATTTGTGGTTGACCTATATACGAGATGGTAGAGGATTGCGTTCGGCACACTGTTCCACATCAGTTTTACCGAGTTGGCCATGATTTCTGAGGCGTGCAGGTTCTCCGGCGGAGGTGGAAGGGCTGAGACAAAAAAATAAATTGTGTGCGATTCATGCTTGTTCGTTGGAAATGATTTGTTTTAAATTGGATAAATAAATTTATACATGTCTACGTGATAGGTTTTTCAATTCTGTGACTGGCTAGCAGAGTGTTTTTAATGAATCATCAGTTTACTTTATAAAAGTTGAAATAAAATTAAGTAGCACTAGATAAATGAATACAAATAAAAGAATAAGCTTGAAAATAACCCTTGATTCGAATTTCCGCAACATGTTCAACATTTCCAAGATCGCTGGAGAGGACGCAAGTGATGTTCTCCGACTTATACACTTTCTCGACCGTCAAGTAGTTGAGATTGTTGTTGTCAACTTTTCCCAAGAGTGTTTGATCTTCATCCCTGATCCATCTGACCGTGGGTGTGGGAGTCCCTGAGCCGGCACACGTCAGGTTCACCGAATCTCCCGGAGACACAAGCACATTTTTTGGCGGGTGGGTAAAGGCTGGCGGAACTCTTCGGGCTGCAGTGGGGAGTTTACCGTCATCAACGTTTCAGTTCGGTTTTATTATTCAAACTAATATTTGCTGAAATGTATATGTAGGTTTAAATTAAATATTCAACTAAAATAATTTTTAAACAGCTAAAAATATTAGAATGACTTTAATTTAATAAATGGTTAAATCAATTTAATGATTCAGACATCTTAATAAGAAATAAAAATAATTTTTGATCCATAATAAAATCGCATTGTAAATTATGAACTATGAACAGCACTATACCGACACAACATACCAAAGGAAAAATTAGGAAACATTTAAAAAAAAGTGAATGATTTTTATACGGTCAGATATTTATGCATGACGCAAACCTTTAACGTATATGATGGCCGGGAAGGAGTTGACAGTTCCATATTTATTCTCGACGCTGCACATGTATTTGCCTTCGTCCGATTCTTGAGACTTCAAAATTTTGAGTGCTCCTTCAGTTGGTTAGAAGGTTTGCATAGAGATATTATAAAAATTATGCATTCTGCGGTGAAATATTGTGACTACCGTTATGAAACTATTTTAGCTTCAAACGTAAGAGAGAGAAGAACGGAAGAAGAAAAGAAAGGAGATGCCCACCTGATCCCTTTTCAATCCTGTACCGACCACTTTCTTCAATGGGAATGTTGTCCTTGTACCAGGAGGTGTGCAGTGGTGGAGCACCAAAGGAGACACACTTCAGTTCGGCATCTTTGTCCTTTTCCACTGATTGGAGATGAGGGTGCTCGCTGATGGTGGGGTAGTCGGTGGTCCCTGCATATAAGTTGCCGTTTTAATTCATGCTTCAGTGCAAAATTGACATTTCGGTTTTGTTTTTTTATGAAGTTAAATTGTTTGAAAAGGTTATTTTTTTGAAACTACAAAATAAAATGTAGAAATACACAAACTATCTCACTATATTTATAAATATTATCCTAGTTTTTTTTCAAATGAACATAATGTAATATTTCTACCATTAAATTTGATCATGTGATGGTTTTTAACCGATCGAATTTTTGAAATATTTTCTGAAATGTGAAACAGCAAAAAATCAACAGCAGTTCCTTATAACGAACGTACACTTTTTATCACTGATGACGCGAAGTCTGGCTTTCCGGCGGGCAGAGGAGTTGTTCTGGGCCATGCATTCGAATTCCACGTCGTTCATCTTCAAGTCAGTCTGCTCGATTCGCAGGACTGATCCTTGCGGGAAGGTTGTTATAGTGTACCTGTGGTTCGTGTCGGTAGGGATGTTTAAGTTCAGTTTTCTATTTAGATGCAAATGAGGTATTCAAATAAACAAAACTACTACAACACACATCGACACGTGCACACCAACACACATACACGTTAACACACGTACACATCAACACACGTACACATACACATCATCACACATACACATCAACACACGTACACATCAACACACGTACACATCAACACACATACACATCAACACACGTACACATCAACACACATACACATCAACACACGCACACGTTAACACACGTACACGTTAGAACACGTAAAACAACTTCACAAATACATGGAACGAAAGTTGAACTTGCACCCACTTGCTGCTGTTGTCCATGAGCTTGTTGTTCTTAAACCAGAGGACGGTGGGAGTGGGAGAGCCGCTAACTTTGCAAACGAACATGGCGGACTTCGTAACCTCAACCGTTTGGTTACGAGGGGCAGTGATGATGGTTGGAGGACCTGGGTGGGTGGAATATGTTTCTTGTGTTATCAGCATGTTCAGTCATTTTTATTTTGGAAAATTTTTTATATTTGTTATGAATGCTTCAAAAAAATTTAATATCCACATTTGTGGAAGTAGTTAAATTGTGCAATATGTACGTGGTATGTGATTTCGTTGAGATGTTCAGCCAATCTAATAACCATTGAAAAAACAATTATTTCATTTAAATGATATTAGTAAGAAGTGTAAATATTATGATTCAATGTTTAATAAAAATTATTAAAATAATTTTCTGTCTAAAAGAATTGTAGCCAAAAATGATTCAAATTAAAATTTCAACTCTTCTTATCAAAATAATTATTTATATTTCTTTTATCCCTTCAATTACAAAAACCAAAATAATGAATTTATCATTTTTAAACGAACTGCACAATTGGAAGCGCTTGCTTCAAGTTGAAAATGGCAACATGCGAAATGAAGAAATTTGCAAGGAACTCAATGCAACTCGATGACAAACAGTAACAAAATGACTACAAATAATAATACGTGCACTGCTCGCAAAGAGATACAATTGTCATTTATATTAATTTGTTGTTACTGCAAGAAAGAAAGCGCCGAACATGATGACGTCGGAGTGACGTAACAAAGAGGCAGTTGACGTTTTATCCTATTTGGCTTTGACGTTTGGTTCTTCTGCTGGTTGTGTTAGATTTGAACGGAGCAGATTTAAAAGGATAATAAACAGAAACAAATTTTTAAACTGACCTAACTAATTAAAAGATCATTCCCAGTAATGCTGGTGCAAATGTTCAACTATTAAAAGGCTTCAAATGCATTGTATCAACTTTTCATTAATACTTCAGTTTCGACAGTTTTTACAGTTCCTTTTAAAAGCGTTTGAAATATTCAAAATACTTCGTAGTATCGCTATGAGGTAACAAATTTTTGAGTTTTACAAGTGGAACATGTTACAGCGATTACATTCTGCTTCTGCAACAACTTCAGCCACTAATGTTGCTATCACTTCAACACCTTCTATTGCTATTACAACATCACTAACTAATACTGCTGCTACAGCATCTTCAGCTACTATTGCGTCCTGTCGTATTATTGCTTCAACCTCTGTTGTTGCTGTTGCTGTTGCAGCAACTACTGCCGCCACACCACTACAACAACTACTATAATAATAACAGTAATAATAATAATAATAATATTATTATTATTATTATTATTAATATGCAGAAAAAAGTTAGAAAAAGTATTTAACCACTACTTCTACTACTGCCGGTACAATTTCAATCAATCGATTCAATCAGTTAGTTTGTAAAGTGCAATTTCTGCAATGTTCAACAGCACTGTTCAGTGACTTTTGTAAACAGATGGATCTTGAGATCCGCTGTGAACTTCGTAAGTGATGGAAAAGTAGTCAGAGAAGGAGGTAGATAGTTCCAGAGAGAAGGGCCAGAAAAAGAAGCAAAAGCAGATTTAGCAAAAGAACCACTATTTTTTTACACAGCATCACGACAATTACTATTTTACTTCTCTACTACTATGCATACAAACAGAAATATCGGCAGTAATAAATGCTAACCAGGCTGACAACAATACCCGATGCTACTAATATCAGCAGAGGAACGTTCATAAATAACAATATGTGAACGCATAAAGACGGATGTTATCTCTGAGGAGGAACATTGTTTATTGTTGAGAGAATGAGAGAGAAAAAGAGAGAGAGAGAGAGAAAGAGAGAGAACAAGAACGCAAGCGGACAAACATATATTATTATATAATAAAAATTCAATTGAAAAAAATAAACTGTTCGTTATAAATTTCATTATGAAATTATTTATTTTGTTTATTTCAGTACAACCTTATCAATAGTTGCTAGAGGAAATTGAAATAATTGATTGAATGATTGTTTAGCTTGATGGATGTTTGATTGATTGGTGGATTGGTAAGTTAGATAATTGATTGATTGATTGATTGATTGATTGATTGATTGATTGATTGATTGATTGATTGATTGATTGATTGATTGATTGATTGATTGATTGATTGATTGATTGATTGATTGATTGATTGATTGATTGATTGATTGATTGATTGATTGATTGATTGATTGATTGATTGATTGATTGATTGATTGATTGATTGATTGATTGATTGATTGATTGATTGATTGATTGATTGATTGATTGATTGATTGATTGATTGATTGATTGATTGATTGATTGATTGATTGATTGATTGATTGATTGATTGATTGATTGATTGATGTAAAACTTTATAACTTTTCATTCAGTGAGTAAAAAAATTCGTTGTACAATTTATGTCTAATAGAGCAAGCAGTTTTGAGGTACGAGTGCTTAAATATCATTTAACTCCAAAATAACATAGTTATGCAGTATTAAATAATTATAATAATAACTTTAAAAGGTAATAGATTATTGAAAAATAACAAAATCCACTAATTACCATCAAACAACGCTATCTTTCATCGTTCAAAATATGAGCTACTTTTTAATATAAATCTAAAATGAACGTTAAAGAATAATATTTGTTTAACTAAAAGTATTAAAAACTATTTGTGAATCAATTTTTCTCCATATACAATACACATACAACAACCTACATGTGTACACACATACATACACATATACGTACATACATACACATACATATACGAACACACACTAACACACATATGCATACATACACAAACACACATTCACACACAACATTAAAATATGAAAGAATGGTTATTTCCAGAAATTTATTCTGAACAGTTGTAACGAACTAAATATAAAACCAAACTAAGCCAACCCATTAACGTTATCTTCAATTTAATGAACAACAACAAAAGTCTTTCAGTGTTGCTACATAAATATCTTCAAAAAATTGTACTTCATAAAACTTTTCTAACAATATTTGCTCTGGTATTCAAAGGTCATTCACGTTCAAATTATTTAGTGGGACACGTTCAAACACGCGGTATTTCATTAGCAAGCAGAAACATTTCACACAACATTTTTTAGATGCAGCCGATATGATTTCATCGATGGTATTAATACAATATCCATGTTGCGTCGTATCTATTACCACAATTTGTTTGAAAGTTTCTATTATTTAGCCAAAAAATCAAAACTGTTTAAAAATAATTTGTTTATTTTTTGTACAATTAATTAGTTAATTATATAATTAATTATCCAAATAATTACATGTACACACTAGATTGCTTCCAAGTGAATATCCAATCAAGGCAGTTGATTTTGGTTATTGCTGAAGAAGTCTGAGAGCCACCAAAATAGCAAGAAAATGTTTGAAAGCAACATTGTTTAGGTTGTTGAAATTAAAAACAAAGCAAAAACAACTAAACGATAGTTGAGAAATTTTTAAACTACTATTTTCGAAAGAAAAAAATAGTAAAAATATGTATGGGCAGATCAGGCCGTGCAAAGGTAATGATATTTGAAAGTAGCGCGTTCTTAAAAATTAACTTCCCATTTGCTAATTATCTTAAGTTCAACAAATTCGTTTAATTGCACACATGGAAACAATATTTTTGCGTAACTTCTTATGATTTTAGCTAATTGCCATAAAAATTCATAAATTAGTTTTCCAAAGTTCACTTTTCATCACATACCAGCAAAGTTTCACACGAAAGCCTTACATTAAAACGTTTAGGTACTCAGTTTTGCACATGTGAGCGAGTTAATTAGGCTATTTACAAATTTTCAGTTAATGTAATTTACTTTATTTTAATCGCATCAATTTACAGTAAAAAAAACTTCAAACGAATTAAAATGTACATGGACGGTTTAAAATGAAAAGACAATAACCTAGGTAAAACCGGAGATTCGTCATCGTTGTTTGGCTGGTTGTTTGTAAATTTTTGGAAACTGACAACAATCGCAACTAAAATTTTTGACCGTTTTATTAAAAAACGGTGATATGAAATGATATAAAATTTTGGCTTAGTGTGAGGTAACTTGCATCTAGGAAGTTAGGTCGGATCTCCGGTTTCACTCAACTCATCACAAACAATGGCACAACGGCAGTAGACAAAACAACGCCACAGAACTAACTTGAAATATGATGAATTATTGTAAATAAACTAATTTTAAACGACAAATTTTCAAAACACATGACACCAAAGTAGTTGTCTACCGTTGAACATCCACACACCGAACAGACTTTCAGGGGGAAAAATAGACAAACAATGATAAAAATGATATAAATTGGAAGTACGAATGATGATAAAAATTATATAAAATGAAAATACGAATGATGATAAAAATGATAAAAATTGGAAGTACGAACACGTATTAATGAAGGTATGGAGAAGTAATAAAAGCGCATTAATAACGATAACTGTATGAAGAGGTTTTTAAAATAAATTACCTAAATACTAAACTACACATCCATAAAGTGTTTTCAAGACCAACACGTAAAAAATTCTGTACATATTCAGCAATGATCAATTATTAATATTTGTTTAATATTTTGTTTAACATTTATTTAAATAATTATTTTTCATTTCAACGATATTCACTCATCTGTATTTCAAGGTGAACTAGAAGAACATTTGAAACGCAGAAATAAAAATAGAAACACTGACATCGAGTAAAACGAAGGAAACAACAATCAAGTTGACGTCGGGTGAATGGGAAATATGATGGAGTGGATGATGACGTGATGGATGGATGGATGGATGGATGGATGGATGGATGGATGGATGGATGGATGGACGGATGGATGGATGGATGGATGTTGACTTGTTGTATTGTGTTGCTGTTGTACTCACTAGATCTAACGTCGTGGTGAATGTATCTGAATTTTGCTTCTTGCTCGTTTCCTGAAAAGTTTTTCATTTCTTTATTTATTTGTCGTGTGGTGTGTTTTTGGTGTGTGGCTGTGTTGTTTTTCGGGTGCGTGGGCGTGCGTGCGTGTGCGTGCGTGTGTGTGCGTGGATCCTGTTATGTTTGAGCGGTTTGTAAGGTTATCATTGTTAATATTGTCTGTGTTTACCTTATTCGGTATTATTTACTTTCGGG